AGCACTGACCCGGGGTGTGGCTGTGGCCACAAGGGAGGCCTCGACGAGTACTTGTCTGGACGAGACAGGTGCAGGGAGGGTGGACAGCACCACGCGACAACTGACGCGGTGCTGACCCCTGCCCCGGAACCTGCTGCTGCCGCTGCTGCTGCGGTGGCTGCTGCTGCTCGACGTCCTTGAAGGCAGGCTTAAGAACATCGATAGTGAGCTCGCTAGGGTGCTTCAGAAGAAGCGTGTCACGAACCGAGGCAAGGCGGTCAGGGAGGCTAGTGGCGATGAAATAGATAGTAATCGCCATGGGGGAAGGGAGCAGTGCAAGCGTGCGTCAGTGCAGGCAGCGTGGTAGCTAGAATCGAGCGAGCGCATGTGAGCGATCAAGTCAGCAGAGCGCTCAAACGAGGCGAGGTCAGGAAACAGGAACGGGAGGAAAAATCGACCAAGAGAGACAGTGGTGGGAGTAGCGTAGCGGGCCTTGATCGCAGTCAGGAACTCACTAGCAGTGCGAACCTGAGTGAAGTGGGCCTCCTCAGACTCAGGGAGGAGGCTGCTAAGGGCGATACAGGCTGCAGCGTCACGCAACTTCCACGCTGCCAGGTCAGCACGCTGGCGTGTATAACGGTCTCTGTTTGCAATGCCGACGTCAGCGCCTAAGGGTGCAGGGTTGGAGGGTGCAGGAAGGTCACCGCAAGCGTGCGCCCACAGAGACTCGTCTGCCTGAACTTGACTCTCTAGGAGGCGGCGCACACGTAGGAGCCAGACCGAGAACTCGAGCGGCCTACCCTCGGCGTCAAAGCGCAGGACCCTAGGGGTCGTCATAGCGGAAGCGAAGAAGTGGGAACTGCTGCTGCGTAAACCCTAAACGCCTAAAGGGTCTGCGTAGGGCATGACAGGCAGTGCGTGAGGCTCAGGGGACTGCAGGACGATAGGGTAGGGCGCGACACGGCAGGATGGGCAGTGCGGTGCGACGGGACAGGACGGGCGCGGTGTGGCGCGGCAGGACGGGATGAGCGCGGCGCGACGCTGCGTGGCAGGCAGGACTGGACGGGACGCGGCGCGGCTCGGCGCTGCGCGGGACGAGACGAGACGCGCGCGGGACGAAACAGGACGCGCGCGGGACGGGACGGGACAGGATGAGACGCGCGCGGGACGGAACAGAACAGAACGCGCGCGGGACGGGACAGGACGGGGCGCCGCTCGGCTCGGCGCTGTGCGGGACGGAACGGAACGCGCGCGGGACAGGACTGTACGGGACGGGACAGGACGGGACAGGACAAGACGCGCGCAGGACGGGACGCGCGCGGCTCGGCGCTGCGCGGCAGGCAGGACGGGACGGGCGCGTCACGGCGGACATGCGCAGCGCTACGGACGGGACGGGCAGGGGGGGGGGGGGGGGGACGCTGCGCGACAGGGAAAGCGGGCGCGACGCGACCAGCAGCCGCAACGGGCGAGGTAACGGTACGAGCGTGACTAACACTAGGGTAAGGGACAGGCTCGGGCGTCACTGGCGTGAGCGGGAGGAACGGGATCCCACAGGATCCGAACCTAGGTGATACCATGTCAAAGAACTGAATGATGGTTTGAGTAAGGTTGGTTGGGGTATATAAGCATAACCCTAACTGTTGTACCCCATATGACACACATCACTAAAGGCTACAACATTTGACAGGCTGGTGGCTAGTTTAGTGGTCGGAGAATGGGGACTTTTTCAGGGCAGAAATGGGAATGGTTGGAATATGGGTACGGGTAGGAAAACTTTCGTGGAGTATGGGGTGGGCATCCCCTCCCATTTGGAGCCCTAGCCTATCCCTTGGCCAACCTCCATTTTGGGGATGCGAGGGCTGGGCTGGAGCTAGGCTCATCTCTACGTGTGTGAGAAGGGCGTTGGAGGTTTCGGTAGGGATAAACCAGAAGGGCTGAAGTAGCGGTCGACATGCATTGATGTGTTTGGCTGGTTCGGAAGTGTTTGCTAGGTTCGACAATAAATTATGGGCTGACCAACAAAAAAAAACCAACTTCGAAGGATCGATACTGCGCTCGGTTTAAGAAGGTAAAAAAAAAAAAAAAAAAAAAACCCGAAAACGGAAACGCATAATTTTAGTGTGCTGGAGGATCGATCGAGGGAGGGGACGTAGGACATATCGCATGGAATATCTCAGCGAATAAGCGAGTCCGCCCGGGAGAGCTCGCTGCCGGCGGGCAAAAAATAAATATAACCCATCCGAGCATGCATCCGGTCAGGGAGGCGTCAACCCTAACGGCGTGTTGCAATTGGCGGTGCACTGCATCGGCTCGGGGCGTTTGGAAGGCTCTATGCAGGCGGGAGGCCAAACACGGGCACTGATTCGGGAAAGAAAAGTTTCAAGATAGTGATTCAAAGAGTTATTTGCCAAGTTTATACCAGGGACATAGATTTTCTTTGCGCGTTTTCTGTGAAAATTTTACAGCCTATTGCGTTCCTGGAACCTTCCCAAACCCGTGCCACGAGCCGAGCCGATGCAGTGCACCGCAAATTGCAACACGCCGTAAACATAGGGTAAAGGTTATGGGGAAACCCCCTTGGTATTACCCCGGCTGTCGGTCGTAACCCGCCTACCCATTTGTTTACACGCCTCGCTGGGTAACGAGGTTGTTGTATCCACTCCCAGATGAGCACCTGTGAAACCCCCTTCTGGGGGGCTGGCAGAACACGCCGCAGGGGGGATTTGATCCTGGGACCTCATCCTTCGGAAGTGAACTAGCTAACTAGCTGGGCCACTTCAGGATCGCCGTAAATACATGGAGGCATGGATTTAGGGTTGATGCCTCCCTCAGGGTTTTAGTTTTTTTTCTGCCCGGGGCAGCAGGTCGTCAGGTCGTCACAGAGGTGACGACCCATTTCTGCTGAGAGATTCCTTGTGGTTCAAGTGTTAGCTATGACAGGTGTAGCAGCGTGTGGGCAACAAAATTGATGTTCCCGCCAACCGGATTCGAACCAGTGACCTAAGGATTGCTCAACTACAGTCCTCCGCTCTACCAACTGAGCTATAGCAGGTTGATATTGACAAATATATATATTAACAAATGTTATAAATGTTTTTGTGCCACGTCACACCTTAGCTGGAAAGGTAAAAGCCGCACTCGCTTGCTTGCGGCCACCGTGGCGAACCGCAAGTTGGCCCTCCTCACTTCCCACGGAACCAAACCAGACCTACCGAAGCAAACCACTGTAGTACTGTAGCTGACTTCGGCGCAGCCCCGTGTGAACATACGTCGCCATCGCACGCTGGTCACGGTCATGGCACAGGTCAGCGTAGCTTCCGAGACTAACCGAGTCGGTTGCTGTGTTTCCCGCCTTCTCTTCATAAATTTGATTGGCAAACGAAGCAGCCCCCGCCATACATACCAGCCCCCATAACCAGCCACTTCTCGTCTGACTAACCACAGCTACCTCAGGCCAGAGACTGTACAACAAAGCAAATGTTTCCTTATTCCCCGCCCACAAAAGAGGGTTGTCTTTAGTTCATGTTTTTTCTTCGTTCTGTCATCTGGGCTCTTTTCTGGCTTTCCTTTTCAAACAACGATAGTCTAGATTCTGGGGTCCACAGTTGTAGCTATTATTCATGGACCCGAGGTCAGTTTTTCCCCAGTCCATTTACGCTTGTTTTTTTTTGCAGACCTTGCAATGACAATCCTCTTTCATCCCTCATAGACTCCTTTTGGACCGAGTGGGAAAACAACCACCCTCTGTTTTTTGGGTGAACACGGCGTAACCCATTATCGGTCATCATTTGCTTGTCGATGAAGAACTGAGCTTGAGGTCACTGGGATGCCAAAAGAAACTGCGTGGTGTGGGAACGTTGGTTCCCCCGTGCGACGTCAGCCTCTCAGTCGCCATCTCGTACTGCAACGTCCGATCTCCATCACGAACTAGGCCTCGCATGCCAAGCAACTGGCAAAGGTCTCTCTTCTCTTCCCCACCAGCACACATACGCTTTCCGCGGAGCTGGTGTGAATTCCAAATCCCGATCCGAAGCGACTGCACCCCATCCTCCCTCCACCCTACCCCGCCCCACCCCCTGCACCTCCCCCTCTCCTTGCACAGATTCTCGTTCCAGGTACACAACAGCCGCCACCATGATAGAAAAAACACTCTTCACAAACGATCCTCGTCATCCACGCCACACGAATCAATAGCACACACTAGCTCAGGAAGTTCCTGGTTGTCTGCCCAGGAGCCTTGTAGCCTTCAAGTAGCTCGAAGACCTCCAATTCTGTTAGTCGCCTCGCGCGTTATATCCTTGCCAGGCTCCTTAGAACTCGACTCACCAAATGCCGTCGTCCTTCTCACCCGCCCTCGACGGCGCCTCGTCGTCTCGCCACCGTCAGATCGCGCCGCCGCCCAAAGTCGACCGGCCAATCTCCCTCGAGGCCGTCGCCGATTGGCTCGTTCTCTCCAATGGGGCGCGCTTCGGCCTCGATATCGGCGGCACGCTCTGCAAGCTGGTCTGCTACGAGCCGCACGGTTCCAATTCCGACACGGACTTCATCCGTCACTCACTTGACGGTTTTTCGTCTGCAGTTACCATCCCCGTTAACGGTAACGGACGATCTCCGGACCTTCCGAAGCGGAGAAGTGGCGACGGTGGGACTTGGGGGTGCAGATGCGGCGGATCGCCTGGAGGCAGTTCCAAGGCGGGGAGGTGCGCCGGCAGGTGCGGCGCGGTGCGGAGGGAAAAGCGCAGCGCGGGGGCGCGCAGCAACCTGTGGCGGGAGAGCCACGAGCCGATCGGGCTTGGGCCGGGAGGCGGACGTCTGTACTTCAAACAATTCGGTGAGCGACGGTGATCAGAAGGATCGGGTAGTTGGGAATGGTGGGGAGGGGGAGGGCAACCGACCGACATTGAGGGGAGGAAGGCATGAACTCTTTCAGCTTCTGTAAGCGGTTGAAATTCAACACTTGCCGCGCCGCGACTGGATTCGAGAAGGTGATCTCGAAAGCGCGTCGAGGAGAATTGTTCGGCATGGCCCGCTCTGTCGGACCCGTCTCCTGCACACATCCCCCGCCTCTCCCCGCTCTCCTGCATCCCTCGTCTCCACCTCACCGCCATTTCCACCTTACCTCCCCCTCCGCCACTCCGTTCCCGCTCCGCCCCTTGCGCTTGCTCCGCGTGGCCCGCATTCCCCCATCCCCCCGTCCCCCCGCGCGCAGAGACGTGGCATATGGACGATTTTCTCGCGCTCGTGCAGCGCCGCAGCCAAGGCACGCTCGCCGCGCACCCCGTTGGCGCCACGGGGTGAGGCGGGGTGATGGAATTACAGTAGTGGGTTCAGGAGTACATAGCATTTTTTCTTGCCGCGTGACGCAATGCAGGCACGCTAGCATTTCTGCTATTGTCACGTCATCTCGTCACGTTTCATTCCCTTTTCGTGCCACCTAACGTCTCCCCTTGCCCTCCTAACCCTCCCTCTTGCATCTCACTTTCTTTCCTCCGTGCTTCTCCCGCCTGCCTCCTGCTCCCACCTCCTCCCTTTCCGCTCCTACGTCCCCGTATGCTTTCCACCGCGCAGTGGCGGCGCGCGCAAGTTCAGAGGGCAGTTTGAAGGGATAGCGGGCGTGCAGCTGGAACGAGCAGATGAGCTGCAATGGTGGGTTCCCTGCCCTGCCATGCCCTGCCATGCCCTGCCCTGCCATGCCCTCCCATGCCCTGCCCTGCCATGCCCTGCCCTGCCATGCCCTGCCATGCCCTGCCATGCCCTGCCCTGCCATGCCCTGCCCTGCCATGCCCTCCCATGCCCTGCCCTGCCATGCCCTGCCCTGCCATGCCCTGCCATGCCCTGCCAAGCCCTGCCCTGCCATGCCCTGCCATGCCCTGCCAAGCCCTGCCATGCCCTGCCATGCCCTGCCAAGCCCTGCCCTGCCATGCCCTGCCCTGCCATGCCCTGCCCTGCCATGCCCTCCCATGCCCTGCCCTGCCATGCCCTGCCCTGCCATGCCCTGCCATGCCCTGCCAAGCCCTGCCCTGCCATGCCCTGCCATGCCCTGCCATGCCCTGCCAAGCCCTGCCCTGCCATGCCATGCCCTGCCATGCCCTCCCATGCCCTGCCCTGCCCTGCCATGCCCTGCCCTGCCATGCCCTCCCATGCCCTGCCCTGCCATGCCCTGCCCTGCCATGCCCTGCCATGCCCTGCCAAGCCCTGCCCTGCCAAGCCCTGCCATGCCCTGCCATGCCCTGCCAAGCCCTGCCCTGCCATGCCCTGCCCTGCCATGCCCTGCCCTGCCATGCCCTCCCATGCCCTGCCCTGCCATGCCCTGCCCTGCCATGCCCTGCCATGCCCTGCCAAGCCCTGCCCTGCCATGCCCTGCCAAGCCCTGCCATGCCCTGCCAAGCCCTGCCCTGCCATGCCCTGCCCTGCCATGCCCTGCCCTGCCATGCCCTCCCATGCCCTGCCCTGCCATGCCCTGCCCTGCCCTGCCCTGCCATGCCCTGCCAAGCCCTGCCATGCCCTGCCAAGCCCTGCCCTGCCATGCCCTGCCAAGCCCTGCCATGCCCTGCCAAGCCCTGCCATGCCATGCCATGCCCTGCCATGCCATGCCCTGCCCTGCCATGCCCTGCCATGCCCTGCCAAGCCCTGCCCTGCCATGCCCTGCCAAGCCCTGCCATGCCCTGCCAAGCCCTGCCCTGCCATGCCCTGCCAAGCCCTGCCATGCCCTGCCAAGCCCTGCCATGCCATGCCATGCCCTGCCATGCCATGCCCTGCCCTGCCATGCCCTGCCAAGCCAAGCCCTGCCATGCCCTGCCAAGCCCTGCCCTGCCATGCCCTGCCAAGCCCTGCCATGCCCTGCCAAGCCCTGCCCTGCCATGCCCTGCCCTGCCATGCCCTGCCCTGCCATGCCATGCCATGCCCTCCCATGCCCTGCCCTGCCATGCCATGCCCTGCCAAGCCCTGCCCTGCCATGCCCTGCCAAGCCCTGCCATGCCCTGCCAAGCCCTGCCCTGCCATGCCCTGCCCTGCCATGCCCTGCCCTGCCATGCCCTCCCATGCCCTGCCCTGCCATGCCCTGCCCTGCCATGCCCTGCCATGCCCTGCCAAGCCCTGCCCTGCCATGCCCTGCCAAGCCCTGCCATGCCCTGCCAAGCCCTGCCCTGCCATGCCCTGCCCTGCCATGCCCTCCCATGCCCTGCCCTGCCATGCCCTGCCCTGCCATGCCCTGCCAAGCCCTGCCATGCCCTGCCAAGCCCTGCCATGCCATGCCCTGCCATGCCATGCCCTGCCCTGCCATGCCCTGCCCTGCCATGCCCTCCCATGCCCTGCCCTGCCATGCCCTGCCCTGCCATGCCCTGCCATGCCCTGCCAAGCCCTGCCATGCCATGCCCTGCCATGCCATGCCCTGCCCTGCCATGCCCTGCCAAGCCCTGCCCTGCCATGCCCTGCCAAGCCCTGCCATGCCCTGCCAAGCCCTGCCATGCCATGCCCTGCCATGCCATGCCCTGCCCTGCCATGCCCTGCCCTGCCATGCCCTCCCATGCCCTGCCCTGCCATGCCCTGCCCTGCCATGCCCTGCCATGCCCTGCCAAGCCCTGCCCTGCCATGCCCTGCCAAGCCCTGCCATGCCCTGCCAAGCCCTGCCATGCCATGCCCTGCCATGCCATGCCCTGCCCTGCCATGCCCTGCCCTGCCATGCCCTCCCATGCCCTGCCCTGCCATGCCCTGCCCTGCCATGCCCTGCCATGCCCTGCCAAGCCCTGCCCTGCCATGCCCTGCCAAGCCCTGCCATGCCCTGCCAAGCCCTGCCATGCCATGCCCTGCCATGCCATGCCCTGCCATGCCATGCCCTGCCCTGCCATGCCCTGCCCTGCCATGCCCTCCCATGCCCTGCCCTGCCATGCCCTGCCATGCCCTGCCAAGCCCTGCCCTGCCATGCCCTGCCAAGCCCTGCCATGCCCTGCCAAGCCCTGCCATGCCATGCCCTGCCATGCCATGCCCTGCCCTGCCATGCCCTCCCATGCCCTGCCCTGCCATGCCCTGCCCTGCCATGCCCTGCCATGCCCTGCCAAGCCCTGCCATGCCATGCCCTGCCATGCCATGCCCTGCCCTGCCATGCCCTGCCAAGCCCTGCCCTGCCATGCCCTGCCCTGCCATGCCCTCCCATGCCCTGCCCTGCCATGCCCTGCCCTGCCATGCCCTGCCATGCCCTGCCAAGCCCTGCCCTGCCATGCCCTGCCAAGCCCTGCCATGCCATGCCCTGCCATGCCATGCCCTGCCCTGCCATGCCCTCCCATGCCCTGCCCTGCCATGCCCTGCCCTGCCATGCCCTGCCATGCCCTGCCAAGCCCTGCCCTGCCATGCCCTGCCAAGCCCTGCCCTGCCCTGCCATGCCCTGCCCTGCCAAGCCCTGCCATGCCATGCCCTGCCATGCCATGCCCTGCCCTGCCATGCCCTGCCCTGCCATGCCCTCCCATGCCCTGCCCTGCCATGCCCTGCCCTGCCAAGCCCTGCCATGCCATGCCCTGCCATGCCATGCCCTGCCCTGCCATGCCCTGCCCTGCCATGCCCTCCCATGCCCTGCCCTGCCATGCCCTGCCCTGCCAAGCCCTGCCATGCCATGCCCTGCCCTGCCATGCCCTGCCATGCCCTGCCAAGCCCTGCCCTGCCATGCCCTGCCAAGCCCTGCCATGCCCTGCCAAGCCCTGCCATGCCATGCCCTGCCATGCCATGCCCTGCCCTGCCATGCCCTGCCAAGCCCTGCCCTGCCATGCCCTGCCAAGCCCTGCCATGCCCTGCCAAGCCCTGCCATGCCATGCCCTGCCATGCCCTGCCCTGCCATGCCCTCCCATGCCCTGCCCTGCCATGCCCTGCCCTGCCATGCCCTGCCATGCCCTGCCAAGCCCTGCCCTGCCATGCCCTGCCAAGCCCTGCCCTGCCCTGCCATGCCCTGCCCTGCCAAGCCCTGCCCTGCCCTGCCATGCCCTGCCCTGCCATGCCCTGCCATGCCCTGCCCTGCCATGCCCTCCCATGCCCTGCCCTGCCATGCCCTGCCCTGCCATGCCCTGCCATGCCCTGCCAAGCCCTGCCCTGCCATGCCCTGCCAAGCCCTGCCCTGCCCTGCCATGCCCTGCCCTGCCAAGCCCTGCCATGCCATGCCCTGCCATGCCATGCCCTGCCCTGCCATGCCCTGCCCTGCCATGCCCTCCCATGCCCTGCCCTGCCATGCCCTGCCCTGCCAAGCCCTGCCATGCCATGCCCTGCCATGCCATGCCCTGCCCTGCCATGCCCTGCCCTGCCATGCCCTGCCCTGCCAAGCCCTGCCATGCCATGCCCTGCCCTGCCATGCCCTGCCATGCCCTGTCAAGCCCTGCCCTGCCATGCCCTGCCAAGCCCTGCCATGCCCTGCCAAGCCCTGCCATGCCATGCCCTGCCATGCCATGCCCTGCCCTGCCATGCCCTGCCAAGCCCTGCCCTGCCATGCCCTGCCAAGCCCTGCCATGCCCTGCCAAGCCCTGCCATGCCATGCCCTGCCATGCCATGCCCTGCCCTGCCATGCCCTGCCAAGCCCTGCCCTGCCATGCCCTGCCAAGCCCTGCCATGCCCTGCCAAGCCCTGCCATGCCATGCCCTGCCATGCCATGCCCTGCCCTGCCATGCCCTGCCAAGCCCTGCCCTGCCATGCCCTGCCAAGCCCTGCCATGCCCTGCCAAGCCCTGCCATGCCATGCCCTGCCATGCCATGCCCTGCCAAGCCCTGCCATGCCCTGCCAAGCCCTGCCCTGCCATGCCATGCCCTGCCATGCCCTGCCAAGCCCTGCCCTGCCCTGCCATGCCCTGCCCTGCCCTGCCCTGCCCTGCCCTGCCCTGCCCTGCCATGCCCTGCCCTGCCCTGCCATGCCCTGCCCTGCCATGCCCTGCCATGCCCTGCCCTGCCCTGCCATGCCATGCCCTGCCATGCCATGCCCTGCCCTGCCATGCCCTGCCAAGCCCTGCCCTGCCATGCCCTGCCAAGCCCTGCCATGCCCTGCCAAGCCCTGCCATGCCATGCCCTGCCATGCCATGCCCTGCCAAGCCCTGCCATGCCCTGCCAAGCCCTGCCCTGCCATGCCATGCCCTGCCATGCCCTGCCAAGCCCTGCCCTGCCCTGCCATGCCCTGCCCTGCCCTGCCCTGCCCTGCCCTGCCCTGCCCTGCCCTGCCCTGCCCTGCCCTGCCCTGCCCTGCCCTGCCCTGCCCTGCCCTGCCCTGCCATGCCCTGCCCTGCCCTGCCCTGCCATGCCATGCCCTGCCATGCCCTGCCATGCCCTGCCCTGCCCTGCCCTGCCATGCCCTGCCATGCCCTGCCCTGCCCTGCCATGCCCTGCCCTGCCCTGCCCTGCCCTGCCCTGCCCTGCCCTGCCCTGCCCTGCCCTGCCCTGCCCTGCCCTGCCATGCCCTGCCCTGCCCTGCCATGCCCTGCCCTGCCCTGCCATGCCCTGCCCTGCCATGCCCTGCCATGCCCTGCCCTGCCCTGCCCTGCACTGCCCTGCCCTGCCCTGCCCTGCCATGCCCTGCCCTGCCATGCCCTGCCATGCCCTGCCCTGCCATGCCCTGCCCTGCCATGCCCTGCCCTGCCC